TGTCTTGCACAAAAACAATGTATTTCGCTGAAAGGAGAATTATAGTCTTCTGTAGGTGACTAGAAAGCCACCATGATATTCTGAAAAATGACAACTTTTGAAGAACACAGTTGACCATTTTCTTAATAAAGAAATGAATTTGAGTGGCTTAAAATAAATATTTGTCTAGCCCCTCAAGCACTCTGCTCTTCAAAGGTTTTTTTACTAAGTTTTGTCACCTCTGAAAGTTAGGTTTAGTTAATGTATTTAATAATCTATTGGACTTCCCAATTGTCTGGAGAGTTGTGACAAAGCCAGATAAGATGTCCTTCTACTTTCATATCCATGATTTCTTTAATCTTACAACTCGGATCTATTTTTGTAGTAAATACATTCCTGTCATCTAGACACAGACTTACCATCTTCTCTCTCTGAGGAGATCTGTCACCACCACTTTGATTTGCTCCTTTAAGCTATATTCACCATTCCTAGGGCAATGGTGAGTCTCAGATTCAGCAGCTGACTCCAAAGAGATAAGAAGGATGTGGAGATGATATGTAGTCACACTGGAAAGACCCACCTTCCTCCTAAAAAAAAATAAAAAAATTATTCAAGAGTAATCACAGCAATGTATATTCAGATTGGATTGGCTAATAAATACTTTGAGCAGGATAAAAGCTAAAACTTGGCACATGAAAATTAGAGTGGTTTGGTCTGCCCCCATTCAAGCAACAGCAAACGCTGCTGCTTCTGAAAGTGAGCACAAGCCCTGTGGGTGCTGGGTCTCTGCTGCCACTGGGGGACTTGGAGGGGCTGGGGCAGCAATTGCTGCTTCTGTGAGGAACTGAAACTCTCTAACAATGACTGCTTGGCAAAGCAAGAATCCGAAACTGAGCTCTGGCAAACAGCTCTGTAGCTACTGCTGTGATACGGGCTTTCTTCCTCCCCAGCAGTCTGCTTTTCTGCAAAACTCTTGTCTTGCCTAAACCTAGAGCTGGCTGTGAGAAGGAGCCAAGTCATGAACTGGGATTGAGAAAAATCATATATCCAAGATGTAGTTAACCAAATGGATTCCTTCTACTGTGATTAGAAGGGATAGCTCCATCACCACTGTATTTTGTTCCTCAATTTGTTGCAGATCTGGATTTTGCTGAGAGATTTAACTAAGCACTGTGTATGTCTGCTTTAAACAGCCTTCAGGAAGTAAATAATTTACAATTTGTGCTATTTCACTACTATTTTTCTTACTCATAATTTGTCTTTGAGTCCCTAATGCCTGTAAGTCACATCTCAGAAGTCCCACTGTGGCAGGCAATGAAGAAATAATCCCTGACTGAAAGAATTTACCATCTAAATATTTTCTCATTGAGATCAGTAGCAAAAGCTGCTGGGAGAAGGGTCTCCATGCAATAAAACAGAGAGAGCATGAGGAAAGCTCATTACCTTTACCAGGACAGCAGGGCAGGCCTGCTGCATCTTGCTATTTTTATAGCTCACAGGCACAAGTGCTCCCTGAATTTCAGCAAGGTATAACCACATTATTTCTTCCTTAGGTTACCATGTGCCATTTCCTACCCCACCTTTCCAAGCCTTCCTTTACACTGCCACTGCTCTTCTGGGATTACATTTTCACATTTAATCCTTTCTGCAAATTTTCAATTTCAATTGCTCCTCCATGCACAAAGATCCTACCACACGAGATTCAGGACACTAACTTTTGATGATAAGACGGGGCAAAAAATTATATCAGGCTGAAGGCAAGCAGCATAAACAGCAGAGAGAGCTATTTCTTACAGGTTGTAGCTGTTCTGGCTACAGCACACAGAGGGGCACCCTAATTGCAGTCAGGGCAATCTCTTTCAAGTCTTGTTCTCTGCCGTACATCAACTTCTTCTTTAGAGCAGAGGTTGGCAGCTGTGACATGGGTGCCAGACAGTATATCTAAAAAGGGATACAAAGGGAGAGGCATCATTAGGAGACAGCCATCATCATCTTCTTTCTCCTAACAAAGAGGCCGTTGATGTGCTGTGCAGCATTTAAGTTTCACAAGTTTCCACTAACTCATATGCAATCTAACCTGGAAAACAAAAATAGAAGCCAGACCATTCTCTGTCTGATCTATGTCTCAGAAGTCACTAAATAAGGCTAGAAGATACTGGGAGGGATCCTGAAATACACATCCAAGTAAACTGGAGATGTGCAGCTCCTGGGATCTGGATAAGGTGGAGAGACAATCTGAGAAATAGAGAAAGCAGAGCTCTTCCCATCTGAAATATCTGTAGCATAAGGCTTCTGTAGGGAGTACATACATACACAGAAATGCACACACAGAGAGAAAAGTATGTAAAACAAATTTAGATGATAAGGTTAAAACTGTTTCTCCATCTCCAGTGGATGTATACCCTACTTTGAAATGGTGAAATAGCTGCCCTGATACACATGGACTTTCTAAAGCTGCAGAAGTGTGGTTTTTGTTCAGCTAGCTTAGGAAAAAAGTACTCTTCTCTAGTCATCCACTGGCAAAGTGCAGTATATCTAATTTTGTTAAATTCCAAAATACACTGTGCACCAAAGTACTTGTAGGTGTAAAGTAGAATGTCAAGGATGAGTCAAAGATTAATACCTAAATTATAGAATGTGAAATGGGAATTACAGTCTTAAATATCACGTTAAGAACTAGGAAGTATTTACCTAGTCTAAGGCACTACTTGTACTGTAATAGGCAAAAAATGCTATTTCTTTTAGTCAAAGGGATTCTTTAATAGTTCCAGGCTTGAGCAAGAGGACTGCAGAGGGTGGACTGGCAATTCGATGACAGACTTCTACAAACTTCAGAACTCTTACCCAGTAAAGCACGCAATTATAAAGCTATGCTTCAGTCCTGCCTACTTCCACTGTTCTACAGAACAAGGATAAATTTAAGACTGTATTTAGGTACTTAGAATAACAGATGCTTTACTAGTTTCCTTCAAACATAGTGCTACTTCCTTTACTGTCAGGCAAGAAGTTTTCCACTTTCAATCTGCCCCTTCAATTACCACGTTGTCCTGTTTTTCACCCATCCTTACAGAGCTTTCTTTTGCTTTTGTAAAAGAGAAAGAAAGCAAGCAGGAAAGAAAAATAGCTTGGCTACCTTCACAGTAGTCTTAAACAAAAAAAAACCCTAAACATATGTGATGCTGCCAGTGCTGTCTGCTTTCTCAGTTTCACCTTTTGCTGCTTATATTTGTGAACTATTTATGGCAGGACCACTTTTTCCCCTGTGTGCATGCAGTCCTATAAACATACCTGGAGCTTTTAGATGCTCTGTTAAAAAGAAAAAAGAAAATAAATAGAACATGAAATAGCAGAGTTTTAATCAGCTTGTTAATTTCTTAATGTCACTAAGCACAACACCTGGTAAAGTTCCTACGGTATTTTTTAAATAAGCACAGCTGAAGAGATCATAATGATACATTGCTGGATTCATAGGCTAACACACAGAAGTGATTCTAGCAATGCTCAGAAACAAATTCCAGCTGCTTCTCAGAGCTTTACCAACTAACTTCTGGTTTAGTAATTAGTGCCCAGTGAGTTCACTGCCACTCAAACCATATGCGTCACTGACTGATATTTTGTACTGCTCATTAGCTGCTGACAAATAGGATACAAAAATAAAACTTTGGAAAGTAGACTTAAATAGACTTGTGAATTGGTTATAAAGAACTCTGCCAAAAATTGATTTTTATGAAAAAGGAAAGGAGGTTCATCAGTGAAATAGTTCCAGAGAGCAGACTTTTGAAAAAACTAACATTTTAATCAGTTAAAAATACTAAATAGCTATGCACAAACACACTTATTTTTAGTAGAATCTATTAAGTATCAGTTCTTGACATCAGCCAGCTCAGACTCACCGTACTCCAAAGTATAAATTTTATATTTTAGCATTTTTAACAAGTCTTAAGATTACTTTTGTTCTATACTTTACCTTTTAGTCCTCAACTTAGTAGAACATGTTTGCTAAAGAAGGTAACCAGAAAGGAACAGAGATGAGAAATCTACAGGTAAATTATTGTCCTTGTGCTTCCCAAAAATCCTTGATCAAGTCAGGACTGTGTTTACAGCAGAAGGCCCAAGCTCTCCTTCAAGCAGGTTTTCCTCTGTAGTCTGTCATGTTTGCCTTCTAGCTGTTTCTTTCTTACGGAGACTCAGGCATTTATTTTTCTGTCTCTTAATGCAACTAGCTTCATCTCATACATGGATGGGTCAGAGAAATAGCTCTCTATTTCTAGGCAGAATTCGACTGCCCAGATCTCTAAAGACTGGAAAAGTGACTAAAGTGATTTGGCACTTGATACAAAAAGGACAAAGTAAAGCTAGTTGAATGCCTGTAAGGATGCAGGCTGCTGCATTTTGAATATACTACAATACAGAATACTTATGAGAGCCCCAGTAAAGGAAGGTATTGCAATTCTGTATACTTCATGATAAAAAAAAAAGCTTTCATCATTAGCCCAAATACGTTTTGCTGAGCACTAGTCCATTATTTTACTAATTGACCTAGCATACCTACCCAGCACTGCACTTGGTGATGTGTATGATATTCAGTCCTATAAACCCGATAGAACAATCATATTATAGAACAGAACCGCTGTGGTTAAGTAATCTAATGGCAGCAGCAGAGATGGTCACTAATTTAATTTTTGTGATCCTGCTTTAAGCCTATGCCACAGTCATCCCTGAGCATCTCACAAACAAGACAATCCACACTATAACGTATCTAGAAAATAATGAGGTAGGACCTGTATAATTATGAAAGCTCAAATTTATTTTCAATTGATTTTTTGTGTGTGTCATTGTGCCAACTGCAAGCATGTAAATGCTATCAAAGCCTCTCAGCATCTTACTGGGGGAGGGGGTGTGTGTGTAATCCACAGAAAAAACTAAAATGGTGGTAAAATTGCCTCACTAAAATGAGCTATTATTTTGAAAGGAGGATTTTGTGAAATCTCTATGGTCAATTTCAATTTTATTTTTTTCAGATACAGGAAGGAGACTGAAACACCAAGTAATTAAGAAAAAAAATATGGGCTAGAATCTAATGTTAGTAGTTACATTTCAACAAGAGTGTCAAGGGGAGCTTGCATCTCTGAAAGAGGTCAAAGACACCAAGATCAAAATTTCAATCTGTGAGAAACTCTAGCATAAGAGGTGACAAATTAATCCTGCTGAAACTTTCTGAATTGGAAAGGGATACTGTGAAACAAATAGGCTGATTAAATTTATGTGAAATGTAGCTTCTAGTAAGATTTGGAGAAAAAAAAATGTACCCGTGTCAAAAAATGACCATAATAAAGGACCAGAGAGAAGACCTTTAGGCCTATTTTTATGTCTATAATCAGGAAAGGCAAGACATCTCCCAAGCTAGTACAACTGCAAGGGAATTCACATATCCTTTCAGATATAGGCTCTTGCAAATGCCTAATTATCTATGTTAATGTAGGCAATATTTTACTTCATGTGAGCTGATTCCCCTCTTTTGGCAGACCCGTAAGAGGACTTCAGTGAAGTAGCAACTCAGTTTACATTTTGGCTTTAGTTATGACATGTAGGGAAATCTGTTGTTCATCTGCAGCAGCCATACTTGTAAACACCCGTACCATTTCCAGTAACAGAGGAAAAAACTCCAACAAACAAATCCATACAAGGATTTTAAACCTGAGGATTGTGTGACTGTGTATGCCTCCTATCTTCCTACCCCCAAAACACCAAGGTTGGCAAACTGGGACAAAACTTCAAACAAGTATTCAAAGCCATGTAGAACACCATTTTGCCATTAAGAGTATACCTAACAGCCATGAGCAAAAGCTTGCCTCTGCTGGTAGCTCTCAGCATACATTTGGAGTAGTTAATTATCCTTCAGCACAGGACTTCCAGACCCAACTTTTTAAGTACAAGTCTTCAAGAATTGAATATCTTACTCCCCACCTTTTTTCTTTTTGCCCTTCCGCTTCCTTTTTAGCATACTTTCATTGAGACACCTGCTTTCTGCCTGCAATAAAAGGAAAGCTCCAGCTGTGAGTCTGCTTCAGATGATTTGCCATGTTAAGAAGAAGAAGTGTTAATAGACTGGTGTGGAAAATTTGATTTCTTGGGCACAAATTAAAAGCAAAATCATGATGAAGATTCTTAAAGAGAAACAAGATATTCACTATCACCTACTCTGATGAGACCAAAACAAAGTTCAGAGAATGCTAGTTATGTTTAATCTGAAAGAAAGCAGCAATGAGAAGATGAAAATAAAAGTGGGTAGAGTTGGCATTAATTACAACAGAAACCTAAGTGCATCTCAGATTTTGTATTCAGTTATAGAAACTGATGTATTACTGGAGTAGTACTGAAGTTAACTTGCTTCAGAATAACAGAGAGGGAACAGAACTAGGGAGAGTTATATGCATTTCACTTCCCTGACTCTGAGTTTGGGCTACGTAATGCTTAATTTCACTTTGGTCTGAAAACCATATACATTCTGGAAATGTATTGTCATTTATAAAAGCTTCCTTTGCTCCTGTCATCAGCAAAGTAGGCTATCCCTACTTTTTAGCTAACAAGTAGTTTTGCTGCATAAGGGACGCTGAGACTCAGTTCAAATCTTGTTTTATTTTTCGCTATATCATGCTGGTCTGTGACAGGTCTCTACTAAATATGCCTGTTTCATAGGATTCATTTTGAGAGTATCAACATGCAAAGGACATATATAGTCATCCTTCAAACCTGTTACTAAAACAGCCTATACCAAATGTTTGAAGTTTTAGGCAATTATTTCAATATTTGCTACATTATTGTTATCATAATGACTAAGAACATATTCAGTCACTGCACTGTTTGACAAACACACCATTTTAAAATGAATATTGTGCTTTTTTAAATGAGATGTCATAAAATAAGCATAGTGTCTCTATTACCAATATTAGTGCTGCACATCTCTTCTGGTTCTCCCCTTCTTATTCTAAATCCTTGCTTGTTTTTATGGAGAAGCATCATTACTCATGCAGAGGCTGATTAGCATGCACCAACTGAAATTTCCATCATACTACTAGGTTATGCATTTCTCTGTGCATGCAAGAAGACAGACATGTTCACATTACTCTGATACTTCTGTCAACATCTGTTCACAGAAGTGGCTATTGGCATGCACTTATCTGTGAATCACTATGCAAATATATGCAACTGCAGTGAAAGAAGTCCCTAGAAGATTTGAACAAACCCATTTACTTTCTGCAGTTAAAATTTTGAGGTGACTGACAGGTCCATTGTATTATTTGAGTACAAGAAGCATTACAATGAACACAGAAATTCTCAGCTTTGTTCACATTTTGCTTGATCCTGTTTCAATGGAGAATGATATGGTATGTCTTCAAGGGAATCAGACCTGGACAATGCAGAAAAAACCAATTCTCTATGGATAGGCACTGTTCAGGACACCACAGAAGAGTCCTATAAACACACCTTCATTAGAATCAATTCTCCATTTATACTCATGGAAACAAGCAAAAGGCAAATCAGAGTGGTCAGACTGATGTTGTCTTGGCTACTTCTTAGTGTTGCTGGTCAGATGCTCATGATGAAAGCCCAACTGGGATAATCCTGACTGAAGGAGATACCGTGCTGCTCCTTAAATGAAATGCAATACTCTCTACTATCTGTCTGGGCTAGATTGTTTGTTTAGATCTGTTTTTTAGAACAAGAGGCATTACCAAAGTTATTCTTTTCAACAGTGACCTTGTCAGGTATGGCCCCCTTCCTGCAGCTGTTCCATGAGACACACAGAGGAGCAGATGAGCTTGAGGCTGGAGTGAAAGCTTTGTTTGTTATTCCATTCCCTCACTTGACATAGGAGGACAAAGAACTGGTACACTATATTCTGCCGCTGCCTACCTCCGAGGTTTTCGAGCTCATACCAGCACAGAGGCAAGAAGTCAACAGACATATTTTTTTACCTACTGTTTTCCCCCCATCACAGTGCATGCAACATAAAGCATGATTTCTTTCCGTGCCTCTCATCTTTACCATGACTGCAGCAGCCAAAAAAGGAAATTCTATGATTTACTTTTCAAGGAGATGTGCTCAATACAGTAACATACAGAATCCTGTGCCTCAAAACACTGTATGATAATTGAAGACCAAAGAGTGAGCAATTCCTTAATTCCCCACCTCTGCTTTATCTTTAAAACTTCATTTTTTTAATTTAACACTCACTGTGTACCTGAATGTTACCTTTTTCCCCTATCTCAAAACTAGTAAATTCTACCCCCTCTCAATCTTATGAATAAATACTATTCAAAACAAGTGGCTGCTAGCATGGATCCTAGCTTTTCAGGACCAAAGTTAAAAGATTTAATCAACCCTTTTAGAGATACTGTTTGATAACTAGTCAGCTGCTTCTACACTGGATGTTGTATAATAAGCACAAGTAACCTTGCCCTCCAGTCATGCACTGTCAAATAACAAGGAGCTAAAGCAGTAGCTTAAGACATGGGTTTTAGCAAAGGCAGGCCCCGCCCCCCCCCCCCCCCCCCCCCCCACTTTAAAAAGCAGATTAAGCATGTGACAATGCTTTGTGATAATTTATGAATAGTATATGCTGACCTGTTTTTTTTTTATGATGGTGACTGAATGATTACTTTGGTTTGGTTTAATTCGAAGACATGGGCAAAACTTGAAATACTTGGAAAATATAAGCTAAACCCTGACAAAAACCCTCAGGTCAGTTAGTGATAAACCTTTAGTTCTCAACTGGGGAGAGGCTACTTCTGGGCTCTGACCAAGCTGCTAGAATTTCTTTGGTTAGTTTGGAGACTAAGATTAAGACAACTCCAGTGACTATGCAAAGGGTCCACAAGCAATGAGAAGCCACATAAATTTTCTTAGAGGGTCAGCCAGCAAAGGCTGAAGGGAACTTGTATCCCTCTGTCCACATGACATATTGGGAAAAAAAATCTGGTAAGATAAAACACCTAAAGTAAATTTTCCCCACTTGTTTTCCTCTCTATTGTCCATAATTGTTTAAAGACCTTTGGATGCTCAGGATAAACTGTTTGTGCCCACAATCTGAGCTTGAGGAACTCCTGAGGTTTCAAAGCCTTTAGCTCTGAGGGTATGGAAATCATACCCTTCTGCAGCAAGTGAAGACATTAAACCTTACATGAAGGAGCTGAGCTCAGAGGCACCAGATATATCTAGCTCTAGCTGCTGTAAATAACATTTTTAAAATAACAATCAAAATAACCTGACCCTTACATATGGAAAGTTTGAATGCACTCAACTTTCCTTGCTGTTGATATGTTATGGTAGAAGAATTGCTTCTAGACCACCTGGGGAAACCTGCATAGAAGCAGGAAGGAGGAATTCATGGCTCCTCCAGTTGCATCCAGTCCTTTTGACTGAAAGATGGCATTCTTCTAGGGTGTATCATAACATTCTGATGTCCTGGTCACCCAGACAGGGACCTATTAGGACACGAAGTTCAAAATCCCTCATAGCGGGACTTCTGTGTGAAACAAAAGCCTATACACCGGGCAGGGGAGAGGAGACAGGCAAAGAAGAATATTAAACACATGTCCAGCTGAACTCCTATTTGGTATGCAACTGGGAGGCGTGCTCAGGCTCACAAATCCAGAAGTATCCTGAGTCCTATTACAAGGAGGAAGGCAGTGGAGTACATCGTATGGCAAAGTTCCCATCCAGTTCAATGGGGTCACGATTTCCCCCAGGAACTCTTGATATTTCTGCTATTGCTTCTTCTAGCTAACTTCATCACAAGATGCTCTTGTCTGCATAGTACTGTTCAGTTTCCCACAGCCAGTGAATGTGTAATCCTTGTGAGTATCAGAAATTCAGCCTTCATTACTTTATCTAGACTTCTCTGTTCATCATGGCATTAGTACATGACAAATAGCTCTGTTTAAGCAGTTTCTTGCTCTGCCATCGCAGACTGTTATCTTATTGCTGACACCAGCACACTGCCTGTCATGCTGCCCTGCTCATGTGTGAGTTATCCATTTGCTGGAGATAACCTCACTAAGCCAGTATATACCCTGACCTTTGAAGGATTACGCATATCAGTAGGTTATAGAAGTAAAGCGTTATTAATGTTTCCTGCAACATCCAGGTCATAGCTGGACAAAATTTTTGTCCAAAACATGATGTGAGAAAGACTCTATGTAGAATTACAGATAATTATTTTTCTTTTAATTTGGGTCAATTTTACAAAGGGCTTGTTCTTAGAAATATTGGTCATTGGGCTGGGGATGGGAGTACATGACAAACAAACCAGAAAAGGTAAAAATACTGTACTCTGACATTTTTTAGATTGATATATTTTGCTTGTTAAGCACAAAACTTCTTTTCCATTTGAAATTACTTTCAAAATGTATTAAAAAAATATTCAGAAATCTCCATTTGAAAACACCACTGTGTGTCAGGCCAATCAAGACAATTCTTCACCACAAGTGATTCTTTTTAGTTCTTAATTCTGTGATTTTTTTTGTTTAAACATTCATTGACTCAAATCAAAATTACTTCTTCTAATTCCCATGGCTGCCAGCAATCATGAAACCCTTCTTCACATTCAGCTGTAATCCTGGACCCAATAATTTAAAAGAATATTTAAGGATGTTCTTAATTCTGAGACGAAGTACCTGTTCAGGTTCTGCACTGAATAACTATGACTGCCAGGTATGCTGAGCTGCTAAGCTTAGCAAGGCCTCTTCAGCCCTCCTTTTCCTCTATGCACTTCCTAAATAGGATTTTTCTTCATAGCTCAGTGGAAAAATTACAGTATTTTAGAAACTGAGAAGTTGCATATATACCAAAGAACTTGTTCTTGACCTTTTGATCATCAGAGAGAAAATAGAGCAAGACCTACAGAACTTCTACATTAGAGTTCTCTTGGGCACCTGAAGGTTTTTTCCCCTCCCATCTTCCTAAACATGTATTATTTATTGATCTAAGGACACAAAAACCAAGGACTGAGTAACAGAAAGAACATTAAGAGAAAGGATATCTTTCTTAC